CTTGTAGTTGGTTTGGGGTGTGCGTTTAGCTTCTATAACTGGTGTCAACACACTGGAATATGCATCAAACCAGTCATTGGTCTTGTTTTCCTTCTTCCTAAAGACACAGAGCTGCACCGTAGATTGTGTTCTTCAGTTGCTCCTACTTCAGCTGGGCACTTGTGGCCCAATCCCTGCTATCAGGGGCTTGTTGTAGTACGGGGGTGAGCAACCTCGGTCGCGCGTGCCAAACCCGCAACGCGAGCCGATTTTGAGTGGCACACTGCCTTCCCGGTGAGAGGAGGAGGAGGAAGAGGGGCCGGAAAGCGCCACGCTGGGAGAGGAAACGGGGGGGGGGTGGAGCTTGCCTGCCACAGGACCAAGCTTCTGCCTCCTGCCCCTGCAGGGGAGAGCAGTGAGTGGGGGGTCTGAGTGGGGCAGGGGGCCGGGACACCCCCCCACCACTCTCCCTTGTGGGGGCAGGAGGCAGAAGCTTGGTCCTGTGGCAGCCAAGCTCCACCCCTCCCCTGTTTCTTCCCACAACGTGGTGCATTCCGGCCCCTCCTCCCAGAGGAGCAGAGCTGAGCGCAGCGTGCTCGCTGCTCCATAGAGGAGGCAGAGAGAGGTAGGGATGGGCCTGGGGGAAGGGGGTGGGACAGGGTATATCCCTTCCAGCCCCCTGCCTTGGGCCACTCAGGGCAGGGGGCTGGGAGCACCACAGCCCTCTGCCCTGAACCCCCCACACCCAGCGGGCTGAGCAGGCTGGCAGCGTAAGATCAGCATTTTAATTTAATTTTAAATGAAACTTCTTAAACATTTTGAAAACCTTGTTTACTTTACATACAACAATAGTTTAGTTATATAATATAGACTTAGAGAAAGACACCTTCTAAAAAAACATTAAAATGTATTACCGGCACGCGAAACCGTTAATTAAAGTGAATAAATGAAGACTCGGCACACCACTTCTGAAAGGTTGCCTACCCCTGTTGTTGTATGTTCTTGCACTGCTGTGACTTTTCTTGGTCCGCTATGGTACTAAGGTTAATACGAAGACATCCTTTTAATTTAGATCTGTGTATTTTCTTTAGTTTAAGTCTGATCTTGCTGCATACCAGAGTGTGGTCTGTGTTGCAATCGGCATTTTGATAACTGTGGGTAATGAGGACAATGTTAAGGTTGGCATGCCTTGTGATGCTAAGATCCAGTTGATGCCAGTGGCCAGATCTGGGATGTTTCCAAGACACTTCGTGTTGCAACTTTGTCTGGAAGAATAAGTTTGTTACACAGAGATAATAGGAATAAAATTCTAGCAGTCTCTGATCATTTACATTCATCTTACCGGTTCCGTGTTGACCAAGACAGTTGGTCCATGCTTTACGATCAGCTCCCACCCTTGCATTAAGTCCCCTAGCAGGAAAACATATTTGTGTTTCAGAATCCTGCTGATGGTGGTGTTCAACTGGTCGTAGAACTGGTCCTTGATGTCAGAAGACGAGGAGAGTGTTGGGGCATACACACTCACAAGGTTGACTGGGCCCTCAGATGTGAACAAGTGTGGTGCCAAAATTCTCTCTGATCCATTTGTAGGTGGCTCAGTCATCCCCGAAAGTGAGTTCTTGATGGCAAATCCAACTCCGTGCTCTCGTGTTTCTTCTGCACTTTTCCCCTGCCAGATAAATGTGTAGTCTTTTTCTCTGAGAGATCTGCTTGATGCTAGCCGAGTTTCTTGGAGGGATGTGATATCCACGTTGAGTTGTTTCAGCTCGTCGTTGATCACGCCAGTTTTACGTGCATCGTTGATCTGTTGAAGGTCCTCAGGCAATCCAGTTATGGTACAAACGTTCCAGCACCCTATCTTTAAGGATGTTTTCTTTCTTTTACTTGATTTGCCTGGTGCATTGGTCATAGGCAACTTGTCAAGTTATAAAATTCTAAGCTCCAAGCACCCATTTGAAGCAGGCAGACTGTGGCAGGACAACACCCTATTGTCTGGGGGCTACCCAGTTTTATGGCGGGCAGTTGTTGTTCAGTAAGATACGATGATCTCTGCCACCATCAGAGACTGCCGCTGGCGCTCAATTCTACGCCAATAGAGTAAGAGCTTAGAACCGGTGACTGCTGCCTCCCGAGTTGTGTCGACGCTCGAGGCGAAGCTGGAGTACCTCATCCAGGGCCCAAGCCTGAGAAAATGATATGGAGGCCCTGAGTTGCCCATGCATCAGGACCCCGCTCTCGGTGTCACTGGTAAAATCCAGGGGAGAGGAAGACCCAATACGTCTGGTACCCAATCTGCTGCAGGAGTTGCTGGAAAGATACTAAAATATTAGTTCCTGACCGCCTTTGGGGCTCCACTCCAGATTTTCTATCTGAGTTTACTCGCATAGACTTACATTCTCCCGAATTCACCCACAAGGCAGTGGGGCTTTTCTGTTAGGGTTTGCTCCCTTAGCCTTATGCCCTCCCGAACTACCCACAAAGCAGTGGGTTTGATGAGCCGCAAGTAGTACCATCTACTCTCATTACGGTAGCAGGCATAGCCTGACCTGACGCTTACAGTCTAATAACCCCATTGTAACTGTATAGCCATTACATGATGGTGGATGTCAGTCACAGCTCCCCCCCCCGTGTGACTAATGGGGGCAGTTGATCCTGTCTTTCTGAGTGTTTGATGTGATGCAGAAGAACGGGGCCCCTCCTTTACCCTGCCCCCATGCCTTGACACCCAGCTTGGAGGGGTGGTTTCAGGATCATAACATCAGTCGTGCTGTGATGCAGGAGGTGTGTAGGCTAGAAGTGTCATGACATCCAACCCAAATTGTGCGGTCTAGCACATAAGATTTCAAGCCAAGTCGAGCCCTACTTCAGGTCTGTTGAGTTCATACGCTGAGGCAATAAATTATTCATTGGGCCATTAAAAAGTGTCAGGTTTCTTCTGCACAGTATCTCTTAGCCAGGGAAGCTTTCTTTCCAGATCAAAGCACTAATGCCCATCTCTCTCTCTCTCTCTCTCTCTCTCTGTAATCTAGCAAATGATGGGACAGCAAGCAAACAGGAGGAGAAGCCCCAGGAGGGATGTCTGGAAAAGTTAGAACCACACAGGACTTTGTTGGTGAAATCAGAAGAGGAGGTTTTGCAGAGCCTACAGCAGGGAGCGGCTGCACAGCTGGCTAACCCTGCAGTCATCAGAATGGAGCAATCAACCCAGTGCGGCCGAGACTTCAGCCTGCTCAAGGGCTTCGTGGTGCAGCCGGGAGAGAAGCCCTTTGCCTGCAGTGAATGCGGGAAGAGCTTCCGGCTGAAGGGGAATTTGGTCAAGCACCTGCGGAGCCACGCCAAGGTGCGGCCCTACAAGTGCACCGAGTGCGAGAAGAGCTTCAACTGCCAGTCAGACCTGCTGCGACACCAGATGATTCACCGCGGGGAGAAGCCCTACAAGTGCAGTGAGTGCGAGAAGAGTTACAGCCGCAAGGTGTATCTGCTCAACCACCAGCGTGTGCACACGGGGGAACGGCCCTTCCAGTGCACGGCGTGCGAGAAAAGCTTCCGGCAGAAGGCCGTGCTCATCTCGCACCAGCGCCTGCACACTGGCGAGCGCCCCTACAAGTGCACCCAGTGCGACAACAGCTTCAGCGAGAAGTCCAAGCTCAACAACCACTTCCGCATCCACACGGGAGAATGGCCCTACAAGTGCACCAAGTGTGACAAGAGCTACAGCCGCAAGGTGTACCTGCTCAACCACCAGCGCCTGCACACCGGCGAGCGGCCCTTCCAGTGCACGGCGTGCAGCAAGAGCTTCATGCTCAAGACGAGCTTCATGAAGCACCAAAGAAATCATGTGGAAGAAAGACCCCACCAGGGCGGCCCAGCTGCTAAAAGCCATGGCAGGTCTGTCGACCATCAGGGTAACGACCCGGGAGAAGGGCTGAAACGCCACACTGAGTGTGGGAAAAGCATCACGGGGAAGCCTGAGCTAGAGACGCTCCAGCAGGTCCATGTCCGGGAGCGGCCACATCAGTGTGGCGCGTGTGAGAAAAGCTTCCGATATGAGGAATCTCTGAGAGAACATCAGAGTCTCCACATCACAGAGCAAGGGCATCCGGAGGTTTCTCGGAGCCCCGGACAGGGAGCAGAGGCCGGACTCCTTGTTGTAAAGATGGAAGATACGTGGTAGCCAGTGGAGTTAACGTTCAGCAGGTGCGTTAGTCAGACGAAAGGCAAGAGGAGGAGTTGAAACGTCCATGGTTTAGAGAGAGCTTCACCTCATCAGATCTGACTGCGTGTCTGAAACCCAGCCCGTAGACTTCCTTCTGTCACTACCTGAAAGGGGAACCAGGGACACTAGCTGAGGGGGATTCTTCTCTCTCAACTGAAAATGCAGCAACAGCACCTTGGGGACATGCAGGGGAACCAACTTCTGCTTGGGAAATATCCCCACATGATGGCAGGTGGACGGCACCGGGAGAGAAAGAAGTCGGAGGAACATGAATGACTGGGAGTAGGAGGGGGATGGGCACTCTGTATAGAAGGCCTGTCGCTGGGCCTCACTGGACAAGACTGAATTGCAGTTGCTTAGGATATAAGCTGACATCTCAAGTTCAGCCCCATGGCCCACGTCCAATATAGTTTAGGAGGTCTGGTCTGCTCTTGTTACTAATGCGACCCTCGCTTTAGCCTTCACTCACCTTGAGGACCTGTGAATTCTCTAGTGACTCCAGCAGAAGAGGGACTCAGGAGTAAAATAAAAAAGGGGAGATAATGAGAAATGCCCTGAAAAAATTGGGAACACATGGGAAGTTAGTACTGTCGGTAAATTCAAAGAGATGATTTCCCCGAGTCCTGACCCAGGAACTATCTGGGCAGGTCACCACAGTGGAGCTTTTCACTTGGGCAGGTGGGGTGCATGTGTGTGGGGGGAGGCAGGGGGGGATAGTTGAGGTGCTTCTTATCATGTAACATGTACAAATCTGATCATGACTCTTAAGACCTAAAGTTAACATGGTCACCTCATCCTTCAGCGTGAGAAGGCGGTTGTTCCTATCTCCCCCGCAACACCACCTCGGCCATTTCATTTTATTTTGATGTATGTACTGTAATAGCATTGTCTGCTGTTAACCAAGGCTTAACAGGGCCTCTTGAATGAGTCCAGCAATAGGGACACATACTGCTACATCGCAGCGAGCTTGCAGTTACCTGCTATAGGGTTCAGGATATTGTTAATATCATTAATAAGCAAATCACACTTTTAACTTTTAAATCACACTTGTAGAGCAGTTTTTAAACTAGGAGATGGGGGAAAGCCGACTGCTGCAGAGGAGCATGTGGATCGGACAGAGACTTCTCTTAGGGGAGAGTCTAATGATAAAGAATCTCCAGATTATAGTCAGGAGCAGAGGATGGAGGAGGATAATGTAAGGGCCAGATCAGATGATAAACATTCACATAAAAAAGAATCTGACACATCAGAAAAGGGCAGACAAATAAACAGTGACAAGTTTTTAAAGTGCTTGTACACAAATGCTAGAAGTCTAAATAATAAGATGGGTGAACTAGAGTGCCTCGTGATAAAGGAGGATATTGATATAATAAGCCTCACAGAAACCTGGTGGACTGAGAGCAATCAATGGGACACAATCATTCTGGGGTACAAAATATATCGGAAGGACAGAACAGGTTGTGCAGGGGGGGAGTGGCACTATATGTGAAAGAAAATGTAGACTCAAATGAAGTAAAAATCTTAAGTGAATCCACATGTTCCATAAAATCTCTATAGATAGAAATCTTACATAAAGTAAGCTGTCATGGGATAAAAGCAAAGGTCCTTTCATGGATTGAGAACTGGTTAAAAGATAGGGAACAAAGGGTAGGAATTAATGGTAAATTCTCAGAATGGAGGGGTAACTAGTGGTGTTCCCCAAGGGTCAGTCCTCGGACCAATCCTATTCAACTTATTCATAAATGATCTGGAGAAAGGGGTAAACAGTGACGTGGCAAAGTTTGTAGATGATACTAAACTGCTCAAGTTAGTTAAGACCAAAGCAGACTGTAACAAACGTTAAAAAGATCTCACAAAACTAAGTGATTGGGCAACAAAATGGCAAATGAAATTTAATGTGGATAAATGTAAAGTAATGCACATTGGAAAAAATAACCCCAACTATACATACAATATGAAGGGGGCTAATTTAGCTACAACAAGTCAGGAAAAAGATCTTGGAGTCATCGTGCATAGTTCTCTGAAGATGTCCATGCAGTGTGTAGAGGTGGTCAAAAAAGCAAACAGGATGTTAGGAATCATTAGAAAGGGGCTAGAGAATAAGACTGAGAATATATTATTGCCCTTATATAAATCGATGGTATGCCCACATCTCGAATACTGCGTACAGATGTGGTCTCCTCATCTCAAAAAAATATACTGGCCCTAGAAAAGGTTCAGAAAAGGGCAACTAAAATGATTAGGGGTTTGGAATGGGTCCCATATGAGGAGAGATTAAAGAGGCTAGGACTCTTCAGCTT